AGGAGTAGAGAAAAATTATTTTTTAATGAAACTGGATAAATAAGAATGGTCAATAACAATCAGTTAGTGGCAGGGCAGAATAATTGAACACATGCATTGTAGTGACTTCTTGGTCCACTAGACACTCACTCCGACGAGCCCAGGTGATCACCCGTACTGGAGCCGCTGTCGGCTGATGTGCCGCACCAGCACCTTCCGTCTGATGCACACCTGACAGCGGGAGATGAGCTTCATGAGGTTCTCCGACTTGAGCACCACCGGATCGGGCACCTTGAACTGGTCGGCGTGGTCGACCGAGGCCAGCCAGAAGCTGTACGCCGTCGTGTAGTAGTTGCAGCGGCCGTGACCCTGACACTCGATGAAGGGGTTGGCGCGGAACTGCTCCAGACAGGAGCCGGGCGAGGAGAGCGGCTGACCGCTGCCCTCGGCGCCGGCGTCGGTGTTCATGAAGAAGCTGTAGCCCGTCCACAGGCCGTCCCAGCCCTCCGGGCAGTCGGGAATATCGGTGTTCTGGCTGTGCATGGCAATGACCTGGGTGCTGGACTCGCAGACGGAGCACCGACTGATGTAGTATCGGATGCTCTCCCCCTCAATCGGCTTCATCGAGGCGGGCATTGGCTGCTCCGTGCTCAGCCAGTAGCTGTAATCGTTGCGGGACGCGAACTGACAGACGTTGTTCAGGTTGCAGTGCCTGTTGTTTGGGGTGTGGTGTGGGTTGTTAGTGTTGGTGCTTGGCATAAACTTTTAAGTGATCTTACATGTACGGCATGGCGCTGAACCTTTGCAGGCAACTGCCGGGGCTGCCCAGATCTTGACCATGAGCTCTGTAGTAAGGAGAGACGTTTGAGTAAATGTTACCAGATTATACCAAACTATAGTCTTACCGTTCATTGCCCATGATGTACAGCAGTGAGTAGCCAGACCACATTTTGGAGGTGTTGTTCGGACAGATCGGGTCATTTACTGACTGGCTGTGTCTGAGGTAATCAAAACTTGTTAAAACCTCGTTTTTCTTCGTTGAACTGTCACTTACTTTGTGAAAAAGTATCCAATAGAGGGGCGTTCCTTGCCTACAGGGCCTTTTTCTCCAGAATCGCCTCTCTCACCAGCCTGTCCGGGGAGCCCACTTCGTCCAATGAGCCCATCCTCACCAGAAACGCCTATAAACAAAATCAGTTTATGAATATTATTCTTCAAATAATGACTGCTACACCCACCTTTGACGCCCTGGAGCCCGTTGAAGCCATCTAGACCCCTGATGCCCCTATCACCTANACAAAATCAGTTTATGAATATTATTCTTCAAATAATGACTGCTACACCCACCTTTGACGCCCTGGAGCCCGTTGAAGCCATCTAGACCCCTGATGCCCCTATCACCTACTCCGCCACGCCCTCCTTTGGGTCCCGGGTAACCAGGGAGCCCCATGGCGCCCATGTCTCCGATATCGCCTGTTTTTAGAAATAATCAATGAAAAAATTAATTAAAAAGTAGAGAAAGCAAAGTTAACGCAATTCTTTTTGTGAGTTTAAACATTGAACCATATTCTGCCTAAAACAACTATGAACGACAGCACCACAGTACTACAGCAAACTGGATACTTGCCTACTTGTCCTTTGGCCAATCTAACGTCGTTTGCAATGATGTCTGCAGGGTCTCCGATCTCTCCAACATCTCCTTTGGCCCCGTTGAGTCCATTTAGGCCCGGGTCACCACTTTCGCCTCTTAGGCCCTGTTGGGCGTAAGCCGAAGGGACCCCCTCTTCTCCGACATCGCCTCTCAGGCCTTTGGGCCCATCTACGCCATCTCTGGCGTCTATACCAGGTTCTCCTCTACGGCCAGGCTCTATATCTGGTCCGTAGGGTCCGGGATCACCTCTCTGCCCCTTAATGCCAGAGAATCCGGGCAAGGAGGCTCCTGGGGCGCCACTTAAGCCTGTTTTGTAATGAATGGAAGTGATTAGTTTAAC